CAGCACTCAGCATCGAAAATAAGATCCGGATTTTCAACTCTAATGTGAAGTCAGTCAGTGCTACTGGCTATACGGATCAGAGACTTGGCGCTGCGCCGCATCACGAAGTGCACTTCGAACAAACTACACACCTTCATCAACAACTGTCTTCACTCAATAGTGTTTAAGATCAGTGGCCAGTCAGGAAATATCAGCAACAGGGAAGGATCTCTGGCAATGAACAAACCAATCCAGCAGAACCATTTGTGCAACAAATATGCAGGAGGAAATGGAGGTGGACTGGATTGCGGCCATACTCTGAGAAAACAAACCATCAAGTGAGTGACATCACACGTCAGGGCAATTCTCAAGTGGAAGCCAACCGAATGTGAAGCGGCGAGTTGGTCGTCAGTGCGAGGGTGAAGTGACATGGAGGGGTGTGGTGAAGACGTGGGGTGAGGGAAAAGGTTGGTGGAGAATCGAATGCAATGGAGACGTGCGTCTGAAGCCATATGTTCATCTAGAAACTAAAGGAAATAATAATAATGATCAATACCCCTACCAGGTGGTCTACACCTCCATACATGACTAGCTCATACCAAGTGTCGAAGACTTCATGATGAGGCGTCAAGTTTTGCTTCGGACACTCCTAACTATTTTCCAACCTAATCAGTTAGCATTGGACGTCAAAGAGAGCGTAGATCGGCATCATAGCACGTGTTATAGCCATCTGTATCATATAGCTTCACAACCTTACCGATTGAATTACTCTCCTTACCTAACACCATACGCCTAACCTCAATATTACTCACTATAATATACCAGTTAACACAAGAGATAGGACGGAAACACCCATGGTCAAAGACAACTAGCCTTTCCAAGTGTTCCACTTTCAATGACCCTGTCTCACAGCCATAAACAAGCACAGAACGGAGTGCTGCCCAGTACACACTTTTTCTTTCATTAATACCCGTATATCACGTCTACGTCAGAGATGACATAAGTTGGCAAATGCCACACAAACTTTTTTATCCATGCTGAGATTTCGCCAGCAAACCCTTCATTAAGTCTGATTCAACTCCTCGAGTAGGTGAAGTAGTCAATACACTCTACATCACTTCTTATCTTAAGTAGAAGGAATAGTAACATAGAAAAACGTAAGGGTTTAATGAATATGAGAGATTACCTAAAGAGTAAATGCATCAACACTAATGAGAACAATTTTTAACCAGACTAGCAATTATCTCAGGCCACTGATTCTTATAAAACCGCGAATCCTAAACCAGACAATCTACAACTCCCTATGTGGCTGACTCAAAAAGGAATAGAGATGTAACAGCAGTAGTAAGGTGATTCCCTCAGATGACGACCAGCCTGCCAACCAGTTATGCAGCCTCTCCATTCTGGAGAGAGGGGGTTATAAAAGGTCAACCCCGAAAATAATACATCCCGTATTACCCACCTACGGTGGTCCTTAGCCGGAGGTAGGTGACTAATACAGAACCAAACCAAAAAGCCGGTTCAGACAGGTCGTGTGTGACCCGCCTCAAGCAGTTATCCCCTGAGGTCAAACAACACTAATTCTCGTCGAGAATTGCTATCCAAAAAGATTTATTGCAAAATCTATGAATCCTAGACCACAAAAGCCGCCCATGCTTAATGTCCCAAAAAAAAACTACTCTACATGAACCTTCAATTCAATGGAGATATATCTGCGGAAACACTAAAAAATCGACAGTCGTGCTCACTTAAGAAAACCTTCCTTGCAGCTGAACTACGAGTAACCTTCTCCAAGAAACTTATGATTCATGTGAACCTGAAGGATAAGCTACCACTGCTGGCCACCTCATCAATGTGTATTTATCAATTTACCTGCTCGTGTGGAGCCAGGTATGTCGGCCGTACCTAGCGTTTGCTTTCCAAACGTATCACCGAACACTTACCAACATGGTTTTACAAAGGAGAAAAACGATGTCCCTGCAGCTCCATCTAAGAACATTTGATAGAGTCCGGACACTAAACTACACCCCAAACAAACTTCAAAGTCGTCTACAGAGTAAGAAGTAGTCTTCCTAAAGGTGTACGAATCATACTTCTTCAAACTGCAAAAGCAATGGCGATTCACTTGCTAAGTTCTGACCCCAGGATACAGAAGAAGTTCCTTCAATCACTACACTTACAATGGACATAATCTATCTTATTACCCGACAGGTAAATTCTACCTAATCTTTTGTTTTTGTCTGAGTCTTCATTAGTATTATTTTGTCATTTCAATTGTAATATTTTACATTTTCAACTTTCTTGTTCTCTAACCCCACCCGATTTAATTTCTACACCTCACTACCACTGTTACTGACTTGACCAACACTCGATTTCTAGTCATTTTTGTTATGCCATCCAACTTATTTGCTCAATTTTAGTTCTAATTTAAATAGCCTTATTCTTTACCCTACTTCTACTTAGTCTCTTTCTACCTGTAATTACCTCTGTTGCTATCCTGATCTAAGTTGAAACGTTGTACACTAATTCTATTTCAGGTACCTCATTATTATTATTTTATCCTTTAGTTCCTAGACGAACATAGGGCTTCAGCCAAACGTCTCCACCGCCTTCGGTTTTCTGCCAAATCCAAGTATGCCCACACGCTTTCATCTCCTCTTCACATGACCTCCTCAAAGTCACCCTTGCACTGACGACCAACTCGCCGCTTCCGTTCTGGGTTCCACTCGAGGGCTTGTCTAGCGATGTCACTTGATGGTTTCCTCAGCGTATGGCCAATCCATCTCCATTTCTTCCTGCCTATTTGTTTCACAATCGGTTTCTGCTGGGTTGGTTCGCTCCCAGAGATCCCTGTTGCTGATCTTTTCTGGCCGGCCATCTGATCTTGAGTATTGAGCGAAGACAACTGTTAATGAAGGTCTGTAGTTTGTTTGAGATGCTTTTTGTGACGCGCTGGCCAAGTCTCTGATCCGTATAGCCAGTAGCACTGACTGACTTCACATTAGAGTTGAAAATCCGGATCTTATTTTCGATGCTGAGTGCTGTTGACCTCCACATAGACTTAAGAGTAATGAAAGCTTGTCTTGCTTTGATATCCTCGTCATTCCCGTTCGCCTGTAGTTGAAACGATGCTTCCCAGGTAGGTAAAGGAGGTTGTTTTTTTCAGGTTCTTCCCATTTATGCTGACTGTAGTTGCTGTTGGCCAGGAATATTCATGACCTCCGTTTTCTCTCTATTCACCTGAAGTCCTAACTTCTCTGGATGCTTCATCTATCGCCAACGTTTTGCTTTTCACTTGCATATCTACCAGTTTGTGGGAAATCAGACATATATCATCGGCGAAGTCCAGATCCTTCAAGTTTGTTTTGTATGGGTCCATTTTATGTCTGTTTCCCCATAGCATGTTGTCTGTCGCATCATCCAAACGATTGCAATCAGGAAGATCATTGGTGATAGTAGACAACCTTGCCTCACTCCCGTCCTCACTTCGAAGGCTTCCGTAAGTTTCCCGTTGTGGATTACTTGGCATGCAGCATTGTCGTACAACTGTTGGATGAGATGTATAATTGTCGATGGCACCCCTTGGTAGTAGCGAAGTAGTTTCCAAATCCCTCTCGATCGACGCTGAGCTATCGAAGGCGTTTTCAAAATCGATGAAGTTGAGTGAGGTAGAGAGGTGACTGGCTGCCATTCCGAGCTTTGTTCAATCATGATCCGGAGTGTGGTGATTTTTAATCAATACAAGACTTGTTTCTCCTGAATCCAGCTTGTTCCCATCTACCGTTTTGATCCAGGGTGGGATGTTTGTTTTTTCTCCAGGATGATGCGGCTTAGTATTTTTTTTCTCTTGGAATGGACAGGAGCATCATTCCGCACCAGTTTTTTTATTGACTTATATCTCCTTTCTTCCAATCCTCGGGTATTTTTTCCCTCAAGGAAAAATCAACTTTCAAGGCGTGGGTGGCAACCGCCCACACACTTCCAAAAGCCCCGGTTGATCATTATCCTTCTCTTCCTTTATCCCTCTCATGTTTATATTATCAATAATAATAAAAAACAATCAAACACCACTCGTAGTAATAATAATTATTATTACTAACATTACTTATAATTATAATTACAATAAATGTTTCATTTTTCACTACATACACCCCCACTATTGCTTATATTTTACATTAGTAATACGTTAAAATACATATATGTACACCCAGTTGATTTCATCTCAAGAATAAGAATAATCACTAAGAAAAGATTTTTGGTTTTAAAAAAACGCCAAAATCATTCAAGGTCGAAAGTATTACGCATTTCACAAAGAAAAAAACAATTGATCACTGAACAATAGTGACACAAAACAAAGAGAAAGAATGAAGAGAAAATAGCGCCAATACAATTGCTAACTACTCATGCACACACACACACAGAGAGACAGGAAGGAAGGAAGCGAGGGAGGGAGGTGGGAGAGGAATTGATAACAAACTTGTAGTGGTGATTGGAATGATTGGGGAGATTTGCACGCAGGCACGCACGAATGCACGCAGACAGATACAAACACACACACTCACAGAAGTGTTGTACACTTCTAGGCAGAAAAATCAAGCGACGACAACGGCGAAGAAGAAGCAGAGAAAGAGGAAGTCGACGCAGAGTAGTACTTCATTGAAATGAACTCGACAATTATTCATAACACTACGCAAGGAATGTATATTCATCGGAAATAAAGACACACAGAGGGAGAGAGGGATAGAATAAATAAATAAATAAGTCAGAGAAGATAACTACAATCGAAAAAATTCTAATAATGGACTGGATACATTTCAATAGTTTGTTTGTTTGTCTTTTCTGAAGTATATAAAATCCGAATACAATGAAGGAGAACATGATAATGAAGTTGGTGGTGAATGATTTATGTATATGTATGTGTGTGCGTGAATGTGGATGAATGTATGTATGTGTGTATGGATGTATGTATATATATGCACACAGATAGATGGTTTATGTTATGTAGACGACGACAACAGCGGTCAGGTATCCACAGGAATGAAATACTGACTGACATATTTTTGTTGAGCATATCTAAGCGTATCCTTTGGTTTATTACGTTTCAATTCACCATCCCTAAATTAATTCCCAAAAAAAATTAAATATACAATAAGCGTAGCAAATATGAAGATATAGAGATGAGATATGCAAATATATTTACAGCCGACTGCCCCTATAAACGAACTGGCGCACCTGAGAGTGGGTAGGCTTCGACTGTCCTATTAGAAATGCTCTCTCATGTGGTCAGGCGTTGATAACCTTTACTTCTACCAGGTAAGTCCTACTCACTGTCTTCATGTGGTACAAAGTGAACGGGTGAATCCGAACGCCTGGTGCTTACAACTGGACTGGCAGACATACAGGTCTACCACCCAAAGTAACTAAAGAATTCTGATTCCAAATCTACGGTGTACATGAACTCCAGAATCCGAAAGGACAGAATAACATACGAAACTGTTTGGGTCGACAGAAACACCATAGGAACACACCTCTACTGTCTTGTGGATGAGAGATTTCAAGTCAAAGACTAGAGGATAGTCCCTTAAGACAATAATCTGCTCCAGTCTGAGAGTCCACACAGTATCCCAACGCTCCGACAAACTAAGATTTTCATTGGACACTAGGCAGTAACTAGTGTGATGTGTCTAGTCCTTTCTTTGGTGCAGACTGAATTTTATCAGTCAGGTTTGCAATGTGGCCGCCATCAAGCTAGGTAGCTCGCCATCACGGTGAACACATTGATTTGATGATATTAGATAGTTGGAGGCAATCGGCCACAGGAAGCCTTGCTTGACCTAGGCTTCGTGCTAGCTGACACTCACCAGTCAGCAAGGCGGCGTGTCTGCAACTGCCTTGAAGGAACTCATGTTCCTTCTGAGATTCGAATCCGCGCCACCAAGTGAGTGCTGCAGTCAAAGACGTTACCACTGAGCTATTCCGGCTCATGATTAACCTCCTGTAGGACTGTAGTGGGTATTTTCATTGGACACTAGTAACTAGTGTGACGTGTCTAGTCCTTTCTTTGGTGCGTCCAAGTTAGAGTTTTAATAATGAAATAATAATATACGGTTAACTAACCCGACGTAGTGATCGGGTTTGCATATCGCATTCACCTTATGATCAACATTGCCTGGGACGAATGTTTTAGCAGGTCCTACGATGCCAGAAAGGTACTTTAAAATAATAATAATAATAATAATATAATTTTTTCTTCACGTTCCCTGTGGAACATAGGGCTTCAAGCTAGTGGCTTGAAGTTTCTGTAGCAGCGTTTATTTTACAGGATAGGGTTGCTAGCCTCATGCCCAACCTTTCCTCTTTACCAGGATTATTTCTGGCTTAGCGAGGTAAAGGAGTGCACGGCCGGGAATCGATCCCGGACCATGTTCATGGTCGGCGAGCGTGCTAACCACTATGCCACCGACGCACGTCATGTTAAAAAAACGAGTACACCTTCAGAAAGGTTACTTTGATAGTCATTAAACTAAAAGCAGTCCCCATCATAGTACAGGTGGTTTATACTATGTTGGTAGTGCGAGGACGAAGCCATAGTTTTGACAGCTAACAGATAATAGTAGGAAAGTGTTCCTATCAGACGATCAGTATGTCAGCTGTACTGACTCTCCTTTCAAAAGAGTGAAGGCTAAAAAGCTGGACACCCCCGCCCCCCGACTTACCCTGAGACGGTCAATAGGCAGCGGTAAGGTTTTCTCGTACGGATACAACTCAAAAAGTCACTTGACACAGGCTGTGTGACCGTTATCTTCTGGACCATGCAGTAAAGCAACACTGATGCTCTTTAAGTTTCAGATATTTCAAGGAGAAACGGATTTCTAGTGTGGACGTCCGAGAATTCATAACCACCTCTACACACACACACTTTCATAGACACATACAGCTTTCTCTAATCATCACCGACCTTCATCAAGTTTAACTTGAAACTGAAGGCTGAAAGAGACCATGACAATGCAATCCGCTGCCACCCCGACCTGATAGATGCTGATCATTAAGCTGGCATTTAAAATCACTTCAGTATGAGTGAGTTCCACACTACCATATACATATATATTGCTGTTAAATGGTTAAAATCGAACTTGTGTGATCAGTCAGCTTTTTTTTCAATTATTTCTACCACATTAGTTCTATTAAGTTATAAAAATGTCATTTTTCACGCCTTTACATTTTGTCCTCTTGACCTGAATATATATATTTGACCTTTACGCAATTTATGTTAATCACTTTAAGTCATCTAAGTTATACAACTTTTATGTCATACTTTGATTGGACACTATAACTACTGTCACACGTTTAGTCCTTTGCTTGTTTACTGCAGACTGAATTCTATCAGTCAAGTTTTAAATGTGACAAGCAATAAGCTAAGAGTCACTGTTCTTCATCACAGTACACTCTGAATTTTTGTTATTAAATGTTTGGAGGCGATCGGCCACATTCAGCCTTCTGACATAGGTTTCGTGCTTGTTGGAAATCCACAGTCAAGTCAACAAAGTGTATCTGCATTCTTGAAGAGAATAGCTCATGTCCCTTCTAAGATTCGAACCTGTGTTGTTACCCAGTGAGTGTGAGTGCTTCAGTCAGAGACGTCCCCGCTTACATCATACTCAATAAGTGATACATAATACGTTTACACCGCTAATTAATATTTAACTGACTTGTCTGTTTTCGACACAAAACTTTGCACATATGTGCAGCAGTTTGAGTCTCCACACTCCCCCCATGTACCACACAAAGCAAGAGAAGAAATGCATAACAGACACAGTTAACAGAGATATGAGACAAAAGGAAAAGTAATATCGAAGAACAATATAGTTTCATTGGAAATCATAAGTCACAAGGAGTGGATGCGTCTGCGCCAGCCATTAAGAATGACTTTGAGTCATACCACCGATTGTCTCCAACCTTCATTGGTGTTTATCGTCCCGAGGACCCCAACCAGTCAGAAAGTCTACACCTTCCTACGTGACTGGCTTAAACTAGGTATTGTCGATTTCATTGACTGATGAAGCTATCTTTTCGTTTGACCACCACCATGTGTCAGCTCTTTTCCAACCTGACCCATATGTCAGCTAACAATGCTCGTCAAGGAAGGTGATGGTTAGGCAGGCATACGTAACACATGTCCTAACCATCTGAGTCGATGTAACTTTACTGTTTCGTCTATTGATTTCCCCTCCTTACCTAGCACTCAACCGCGATTCATAACCCCAATATTGCTCACCCTATTATACCACTTTCACACGGGATATAGTACGCAGGCACTTATGATCAAAGACAGTTAGCCCGCCAGGCTTTTCATGTCTTCCCCTCCCAATGGCCAGGTCTCATAGCCACAAAGGAGGACGGAGCGGACTAGTATAATTTACACACATACCAACAAGCTGAACCCTAACTAACACCTGCAATCGTAAACATTCAACTCTTCATTGATGTAATTTATACGATACACTAATGATCAATTAATTATGTAAATAAGATACAAACTGAATGTTGCCACAGAAAGAACACACAAGCTTACTTGTGTGTGTGTGTGTGTGTGAATGTCAAACATTTAGTTGTTTAAGACAGTCAAAAGTGGACAAACTCCCAACTCATGTTATCATCTCTCACTGAATCTACCCAATATACATGTGCGTGCAAAAGCACATACATTGGAAGAACAAAAAAGAGAGAAAGAGAGAGGGAAGGGTTATTGTCTGCAATTTACAACACATAACAAAGAATCTGAGACCTAAAGGGCTGATAGACATGAAACAGTGTGATTACACCTCATCTGTTGGTGATACCGATGATATTGTAGACAATCCAAGCGTGTTCAAAATAATCAACAGACAAGAGAAACCTAGCTTGTTAAGATTTACTGAACTAATCTCCATCAAACAACTAAAAAAGCGAAGACAATCTGGAATTATCAAGTTTTGGATTTGTAGGGATTTAGTTTGATTAGTTGGAGGATTTCATCGTGAACTGACATCAGTTCCAGAACCATTGAAAAAGCAACTGGGAGTACTGCCAGACAGCTGTTTCGTCTACCTCTAGTTTGGGAATCTTCATCGGTACGCACCCACCCTACTGAGGCTTAAACCCAGGAGCTTCTGGTTACAAGGCTAAAGAGGTGGTAGACCATTAAGCCACCAGGACCCGATCCAATGGCAAGTCAGTTCATGAATTCTAACTTCTGCCAATTCATGACATAGTGCGACCACCTTGCGCAATGTCTTCTTCAATGAGTTACTGCCTCACCTTTAACCTGCTCCATCCCACTGGTCACGGCGTACTGCTGAAGAGTCCCAAACTAGGTTGACGAAACAGCCGTTCAGTACTCCTGGCTGGTTTTCAAGTGGTCCTGCAACTGATGTCGGCTCATGATGAAATCCTCCAACTAATCTGGAATTACATGGAGGATTTAATCATGAGCTGACATCAGTTAGAGAACCACTGGAAAACCTGGGAGTACTGGACAGCTGTTTCGTCCTAGTTTGGGACTCCCCAGCAGTACGCACCCACCGGGGTTCGAACCCAAGACCTTTTGGTTACAAGGCGAGCTCGTAGACCATTGAGCCACTGGGACCCGATCCAATGGTCCTTGAATTCTAACTTCTGCCAGTTCATGATGGTCTACGAGCTCGCTATCCTTGTAACCAGAAGGTCCTGGGTTCGAATCCCGGTGGGTGCGTACTGCTGGGGAGTCCCAAACTAGGACGAAACAGCTGTCCAGTACTCCCAGGTTTTCAAGTGGTTCTCTAACTGATGTCAGCTCGTGATTAAATCCTCCATGCAATCAAACAAAATCCCTACAAAAACCAATACTTGATAATCTGGAATTACTCAATCTTTACTTTTGCAATCTGTTAACTCTTTCATCTTACCTACTGTTCTGTATTGTCCCCGCTTCGTCTCTCCCGGAATACTCAAAAAGGATAATGTCTTAATAAGAAGGAGGGTATTAAAGGTTGTGAGTAGGGTGAGTTGTGTACCAACCACTTGGTCAGCTCGTTACTCATATAGACTTATATGGAAAATGGTCTAAACCCATATCGTCTGACTCTCAACACCATCTCTATTCAAAAATCTCCACTTGCCTCTCCTCAAGTACAACTAGAAGTCATTACAAAAGAGTGCATGCTCGTACAACTAAGTACAAAAAATCCACGATACCCTATTTGTCCCACAGTCTATGTAATACAGTTACGACCGTTGAAAATTCCATCTACGGGAAATAAACTTGAAATGGTCAGTATTTGAAGAGCAACTCTCAGTCATCGAAAAAAACCTTATCGAAAATGGATATCCTCGAAATTTCATATGAAAATATGCGAAGGAATAAAACCACCGAAACTGAAACCCAAAATAATTGAAAGGGAATCAATTTTCATCTGTAAGGTGAAGAAGTATCCACAAGAACGGAAAACAGAATCAAACCTGCATTGAAAAAAAAACATTTCCCGCCAGCAGACTCATTCTAGTTTACAACACAGTATGCTCGTTAACCAAGTGAAAGTAGATAAGTATCCTGCTACGCATGTCAACTCTAACTGCATTTCAAAACTTCACCTGGCGTAGACGAGATGTTCGACTATCGACCAAAGGGCGGGTGTACTGCTCATCAGTCCGCTCCGTCCACCTTTATGGCCAGCTGTGAGACCTGGCCACTGAGAGTGGAAGACATGAAAACCTTGGCTAGCTGTCTTTGATCATAGGTGCCTGCGCTCTATTTCCCGTGTAAAGTGGCATAATAAGGTGAGCAACATGGAGGTTAGGCGTAGAGTTCTAGGTAAACAGGGAAAATCAATCGATGAAGTTGTGAAGTTACAAAGACTGAGATGGTTAGGACATGTGTTACGTATGCCAAGCCATCGCCTCCCTCGACGAGCTATGTTAGCGGATATAGGGTCAGGCAGGAAAAAAGCTAGCGGCGGTCAAACAAAAACTTGGCCGAACCAGTCAATGAAATCCACAACAGTTGGTCTAAGCCACGTAGGAAGGTGTAGACTTCCTGACTGGCTGGTTGGGGTCCTCGGGACGGTAAAAATCTATGGTTGGAAACAATTGGTGACATGGCTCAAAACCGTTCTCAGTGGCTGGGGCAGATGCATCCACTCCCTGTGACTTATGATCTTCAATGAAACTGTTTTGTATTTCTTTATTACTCCTTTGTTTCACACCTCTGCTCACTGTTTCTATTATGCTTTTCTTGTACTTTCTTTTCTTGCTTCGCGTGCTACACGGAATGTGGCGACTTGAACTTCCGCACATTTGTGCAAAGCTCTATGTCGAAAACAGACAGACAGACACCTGAACTTCAGGCAGTAATTACACAGGAAGGGAGTGAGGGAGAACATCTACTATATTCTCCAAGCAAATCCATAAAAGTATCTGTTTGAAAGGCAGACAGACAACTGTTAGCAAGTGCAATTGCCACACACCTAATTGATACTTGGCATATAGTGGCAATTAGTCAAGCTTTTAAAATAATCAATACACAAAGAAAAGAACGGTTACTTCCGATCGCAGAAACCATCGCCATCAAAAGACTTCAACCCATTCTGTGTATACAGAAAGATAGTATGACTAATCTCACACTACCCTACCTCGTAATGTGATACGACATTCTAGATATTAACAAGATATGGTGACAGCTGTCTGCTAGCCAAAATTGTAAACAACAAATCATGTCAATGTTTACGTCCCAAATCAGGGTCATGAGCAAAAACAGAACAAAGCCTAACCTTGAAGAACTCAACAGCCAATCAGAGCAGACTTTGTGTGGGCGGATACGATGTGCAGATATATCAACGGACTGTTTAGGAAACAGCAACAATGAGATGACAGAATAACCTTCAGCAGGAAAACAACCAATCAGAAGACGTTGCTTCTCTCCTGACAATAACGGTAATAATAATGATCATAAAAATCTATAAATATCTCTTGATTTCCTCAATAAACGATCTGTTGGCTGGCCCTTGTCTTCTGTCGTTACAGATATAGTGAGGCATGTGTGCAGTACTATGATTCACTTCGGAGCAAGAATCACCTAATGTCAGCAACGACAACTATAAGTCGTGGTTGCCACATGAATCTCAACTTCCAAGACGAATATAATTTCTATGTCAAGGCAAGAAAGCTGTATTATTAACATATAATTAACAGAGAAACAGACATATAGAAATTTGTGCTGAGTATGCTATCTAGGAAGACAATGGAAGCGCCTCAATTGAACCAAACAAATAAACAAAAAAACATAAAAAGAGCGGAAAAAAGCACAACAACTTACCAATCCATACCAATCATTCCACCACACTGTGCAATACTATGCTGTACACGTCTAGCAAATGCTATAGAGTCTTCTTCATCAGATTTCCGCGTCGGTGGTAAATACCAAACATCTACCATAATAGCCCAAGATGTCATTGTCTTCAAACTGTACTGGAATAAACCATCACGACTACTGTTCCAAAAACAGTCAGCAAATAAAGGATTGTACTGTGTATGGTGGAGAAAAAAAATAGACGAAGAAAGGCAATGATAATTTATGTACAGAAAACATAGAAATCATTATTATTTATTATTTAAACGCAGAAAAAAACTTGGTACAATATGGCACCAAGAAAGATGCGCCACACTAAATTTCATTTGTTGTGCGAGGGCTGAGATACTGCCCGGGCACCCAGACCGAAGCAAGTGGTTTTCTTAAGGAACCAGCCCCCGAGCCTTTGACTTGGAGTCTAATCCGTAGGGTAGCGGAGCAGCGCCAGGAGGTGCATTCCCATGGTTTCCGGTGACCCATGTGGGTTCATACGCCATTTGATCCCATTGGATTCTGGAGTTTATGCACCCCATGGTGGTAACTGCTTTTAGTCTAACTGCTATTCAAACAACCTACCTAACATAGTAGGACATGCAGGGACATGAGTCCCGCCAGTTTAGTTTGTTGGGTCACTGTGGTATTCAAGCCCGACTACCACGACAAGGTAGCAGTTGTCAACAAGAGGATTTAATACAGTACATCCATACATGCTTCAAGACACTTATAGATCATTCCTTCCAAGTGGAATATGGGGCTTGAAACCTCAAGCTTTATAGCTTTAGTGGAAATGGTGTTTATTGTTTTATGCGATAGGATTGATTTCATCATGATACAAAATCAGTTGGAGTCGTCAGTCAGTCAGCTTCCCTGTATATGCATGAATGCACCTTACTCAACAACTACGGAGAATCCCATACAGTTGACAGTGAGCCACACCTATTGTATGACGGCTAGTAATATCACCAGGGGCTGCCAAAACTTCGGCAAATTTGGGGTGTGGTTTGAACTCGTGGCTCATTGGTTGTAAGTCTAGCATCTAGACTAATGAGCCACACCTCCACACAAGCAACCCTACCTTCCTCTCAAGAATAAACCTAACTGGTGAATGAACAGGGAATTAAAAGCAACTGTTTTAATCGCATTAACAATGAGTCTGTTTACAGTTGATAAATAGCCTGTATGAAGTAGCCATATCAAACTAATGTTTCATTTACTAACATGCATGGTTTAGTTGCTGATGGTTAGCATCGGAATCCAGGATGTTATGATGCTAGATCTTTGCCACGAGGTCACTGCTTAACTACTGACCAGTGCCCACTTAACTGGTAAAGCAGAACACGCGAGAATCAGCGGTAAAGCCGGGTTCATTTATTATGACAAAAGTGAATGTATTTATACAGAAAATAAGGTAGACTGAAAATCAACCAATCTGGTTGAGATTTGGAATTGTGCAAGCGTCCAATCAGAAAGCAGGATAGTTGCATGTCAACGACTTGTTAATAACGCGATAATAACTTGACTGAGACATGATAATGACCTGATAATTGCATGTGTTTTGCCTCATCGTACATTTGACAGGGATGAAACATATGCAAAACATTCACAGATTTCCACATTTCGTCAGCATCTTCTCTCAGGAGGACATTATCCACTGTTTCAGGTTAACATGTCAATCCCCAAAATCCCTAAAGTCAATTCCATTAGTAGTAGGGATTAGCTCCAATTAGTATAGTGAGATGGTATACACTAAAGATTGATATGAGTCATTTGGAGACTACTCACTTCAAACACTAGCGTTCAATCTGGCTAAACTTGAGAGATTTAAATGTTGAGTAGCACTCTTATTCGGTTTAGAGCCGGCCTAATTTAGTGGTGTATGCGGTTGAACTCATAACTCGACGAACTAAGTCAATTCACACCAAGCCTTAAATTGTGGCTCCCGGCTGACAACTGCTGCTTGGTCGTAGTGGTCGGGCTTGAATTCTTCAGTGACCCAACAAGCTAAACTGACTGGGATTCATCTTTCTGCAGGTCCTACCATGTCAAGAAGGTTGTTTGGATACCGGTTAGACTAAAAGTAGCTACCACCATGGGATACATGGGCTTCAGAATCCAATCGGATCAAATGGCGTATGAACCTACATTGGGCACCGGCAATCACGGGAACGTAGCTCCTGACACTGCTCTGCTGCCTTGCGGATTAGACCTGTAAGTCAAAGGCTCTGCGGGTGGTCCCTTTAGAAAACCACTTGCTTCGGTCTGGGTGCCCAGGCAGTACTTCAGCCCTCACACAATAATAAAATATGGCTATCTACATGAGAAAACTAGTAGTGCATAGAATTAAAACTGGTTGTTAAGAAGTTTACACCCTTTTACATATTTTTTTCCTTCACGTTCCCCAGTGGAACATAGGGCTTCAAGCTAGTGGCTTGAAGTTTCTGTAGCAGTGTTTATTTTACAGGATAGGTTTGCTAGCCTCATGCCCAACATTTCCTCTTTACCAACATTATTTCTGACTTAGCGAGGTAAAGGAGTGCGTCCGTGGCCGGGGATCGAACCCCGGACCATGTGGATGGTCGGCGAGCGTCCTAACCGCTGTGCCACTGACGCACCTTTTTACACATAATAGCTGTTTACTGACGTTGAGTGAAGCTGTGAAACATTTCGTTTAAGCGCTTGACTTCCACTTTCCGAGGTTTAGACATCCATGTAGTATCATTATCTGTCTGTCTGTCTGTCTGTTTTCGACATAGAACTTTGCACAAATGTGCGGAAGTTCAAGTCGCCACATTCCGTGTAGCACGCGAAGCAAGAGAAGAAAGTACAAGAAAAGCATAATAGAAACAGTGAGCAGAGGTGTGAGACAAAGGAGTAATAAAGAAATACAAAACAGTTTCATTGAAGATCATAAGTCACAGGGAGTGGATGCATCTGCGCCACTGAGAACGGTTTTGAGCCATGTCACCAATTGTTTCCAACCATAGATTTTTACCGTCCCGAGGACCCCGGCCTGGAAGTCTACACCTTCCTACGTGGCTTAGACCAACTGTTGTGGATTTCATTGACTGATGCCATGTTTTCGTTTGACCGCCGCTAGCTTTTTTCCAGCCTGACCCTATATCCGCTAACATTGCTCGTCGAGGGAGGCGATGAGGCTAGGCATACGTAACACATGTCCTAACCATCTCAGTCTTTGTAGCTTCACGACTTCGTCGATTGATTTCCCCTGTTTACCTAGAACTCTACGCCTAACCTCCATGTTGCTCACCTTATTATGCCACTTTACACGGGAAATAGAACGCAGGCACCTATGATCAAAGACAGCTAGCCTTTTCATGTCTTCCACTCTCAGTGGCCAGGTCTCACAACCATAAAGGAGGACGGAGCCGACTGATGAGCAGTACACCCGCCCTTTGGTCGATAGTCGAACATCTCGTCTACGCCAGAGTCGGCGTAAACTAACAAATGCGAAACTAGCCCCCTGTATCCGTGCTTAGATTTCGTCAGAGATCAACCCGTTGGCTGGATGATGGTACTTCCCAAATAAGTGAAGCGGTCAACGTGCTCTACCACTTCACTTCCTATTTTTAAACTAGGCGACGATGTAGTCCAGTCCTGTAACATCATCTTGCATTTGGCGGGAGCGAATCGCATGCCAAACATTCGTAGATTGCGGCTCAAGGTGTTTAGAAGACTCTGCATTTTGTCAGCGTCTTCGCCTAGAAGGACTATATCGTCTGCATATTCCAAGTCAACGAGATTATTCCCCGGTAGCAAGTCAATTCCTGAGTCACTGAAGTCACCTAGGGTTAAGTCCATTAACACATCTATGATGAAGTTGAATAGAAAAGGAGATAATGGGCATCCTCGACGGACACCACTGGTCGTCATCAGTTCAGATGACAGCTCGCCGTAAGCCCTCACCTGGTGCTGCATGAGTTCGAGTAGAGTGAGTGGCTTGATCAGTGCAATATATTTTCTCGGAATTCCCTTTACAGCCAAGCATCGCCAGAGAACTTCTCGATCGACAGAGTCGAATGCTGCCTTTAGGTCAAGAAATATAACAACTGTTGGACGCCGGTAGGAATGCCTATGTTCTAGAATCTGTCGGAGGGTGAAGATATGATCAATACACCCTCTTCCTGGTCTAAAGCCTGCCTGGCTCTCTCGTGTTTGTGCCTCCCGAGCACCACTCAGTCTACGCATGATAGCTCTCTCTCCCTCTCCCACATACATACACATACACTAAAAGGTGTGGCTCATTACCAACTGCGTGTATATAAAAATGGTTGCTAAGTGACACTAGTTTTTCATTATTTTATGCAAATAATAGCGAGGAATAAAAGGGGTAAGCAGAATTTACAACACAGGCAGCAAAATGAATTTTAGAAGGTTATATATCAGTTTGCAATGGATCAACGGACTTCACAACTAGAGCCCTATTGGAAATTAGGAATTATTGAGCAGCTACTTCATCCTTGGTTAAGACTCTTCAGAAATGAGGGTACTTATGGCTTTGCCAGGGATCGAATCGAGGACCTTTGTCGTCAGTTACCAGTGACCAACAGCTTAACTCTTAAGTGTTTCTGTGAAGGGATTCAATCGGTTTATCGCACATAACTGGTCTAAACTACTACCTTGACAAACAACATTTGGAGGTAACTAACTCTTTACAGGGGTGATTTGATTCGATTTCATGATTACAGAGTGACTACTATTCAAACTACTGAGAGAGAGAGAGAGAGACAGAGAAAAAAGAAATTTTACCAAAAAAAAATATTATTCACAAACCTTAATTGCAACTGGGTGAATTTCAGCGCCAACTTCAAAACAGCCTTTTTTAAACTTCATCACCGATGTGTTATTGATACAAGTACCTTCAGGGAAAATCAATATTGGTTCAGCATCTGGAGAAGTTGCATGCTGTTTTAAACGTTTAGCTGTTGCATTACGATCTAAAACTTCACCACGATCAAACCAGATAGCCGGTACAGCGCACGAGATAATCCATTCAGCAAATCCAAAAAATCCTTCATGTTTTTGACCCACCTGAAAAAAGTAAAGCAATAATAGAGAAAGTGTGGTGAGAACTGGCTGGCCTCGCCTCGAACAAGCCAAAATTGCAGACAACAATTTACGTTAACGTTGTTCACCTTCCGAATCGGGTGATGAGGAAAAAACTATAACAAAGCTTAACCTTGAGGAATTCACCAACCAATCACAGAAGACTTAACGTGTGCAAGTACGATTTGCAGATATATGGCTTAACTTTCTGCGAAACGGTCACAAGCAGTACAGAATAACTTTCAGCAAGAAAACAACCAATCAAAAGGCGTTGCTCCACTGACGATAATGTACATAAAAATCCATAAATATCTTCAGAACAAAATAGTTAGAGAGAACAATTTTCATTCTCCATAAATTCTTCTTCTTCAGGCTCGACAATTATAAATCCATTAATTTAAGCATACAATAACCAGCCAATAAAGGCAAATGACAATCATATCAGAAGAAGGTGTATTGTGGAACAAGTATAAGTAAAATGGATGGAACAATAGTCAGTTTTTTTTTAATATACATGGTCAATGAGAACATGGGACAAAATGAGATGAAGTAATTTAATGTAATGATGTATATATATTCATACGAACTGTGATCAAGATTTGACCGGATAGTTGCAAAATATGGTGTCAGATGTGGTTGGGTACATGTTGTCTGTGCAATATATGTACCTGAAGTCTATTTCACTGATTTTAGCATCATGGAGCTCATATCAGTGGAGAATGTTACAGCTGAAAGGTTTGGCCGGTCCTGCGTATTTTGTGAACGTAATATCAACGAAATTCCTTAGCAACCTATGGAGCTTGTATTCAGTGTGCTTGGAAGAGTTGTCGTGTATACTTTCATGCCTCTTGCGCTGGTCTGCAGGGTTTGCTTAGTGAATTACCTGCAGCAGAAGCAAGCGGGTCTTTGTCAATTGCTGAAATTTTATTTGGAGCCACTGGTAAAACACAAAGTTTCCCCTCAATCTTCAAATGATATCACTGAATCATGTAAGGATACGAATCAGGCATTTAAGCAGGAATATAGTAAATTTCAACTGAATGGATTTTGCTGTGTGCAACACAAAAAGAAGTTCTATGAAGTTTCCAATTCAAATTCAACTCCTGCTATTTATCACAGTGATACTACTAGTAAGCTATGCAAATCTCCTATGAATGATGAAGCTTCAGGTGAAGTAACCAATCAATCGCTTAGACGGTGTTCTTTCCAGTTACATCTTACTCAACGGTCACCGTCTTCGGATCCTGATAGAATAGACGACAAGCAAACTTTTCAAGACGTGATACAGGATGGCAAGAAGAGCACATCATCACCAAGTGGTGAACGTTATGGTCAAAACTCTCTGAAATTACAGAAAGATCAGTGTCCCGGTGAAATTTGTAGTCCAGAATGAATGTGGTGAAACCGGTCAATCAGAACAAGTACCGGCCAAAGCAATGGAGAGGGTTGAAAATATTGATTCAAAGATGCATGAATCGCTTGTTGTGATGAACCAAGCAGACAATATTTCTTCATTACTTGTAAATCAAGAACAAGCTGTTGAAGACAATTTATGCCCTTCTGGTCCACTGTCTGACATATCAACAAATGATGATCATGGCGATAAAATATGTGATAAAATATTGATAACTGTTGCATGACTCATGATTGGACAAAATTTTAAAAAACAAGATGTGTCCCTTTATATATAAACTTTGTTATGTTAATTTCGATTAATTACCCTGAAGAAGTTCAGACCAGATTGCCGAACGAAACGTTGGAATTAATCATTTCAATTTCGCTGAAATTTTACAAATATAACTTTATATATATATATATATATATATATATATATATATATATATATATAAATATATAAGTATAGTCAGAAAATACAAGTTTCGAGAGTGAGTGTAATCAGGGTCATGAAATCATAAAAGTCGAAAATGAACGTTTGTCAATGAAACAGAGGAATAGAAGAAAAGAAAAGAAAATTTTGAAAGGAATTTATAGTGTTAATGTTTATGGAGGATTTGTTGGTTTTATTGTAGGCCAAGGTAAACATAGAGTGTGAACACACTTCTTCTGTATACAAAGAGTTAGACCTCTGATATTAATTGCGACCTCTTCAGCTACTGATAGAAGACGTAGTCGAGTTCCTCAAGATAGATTACTATGATGAACGCGGTAAATAACTGAGAACACCTGGTCAAGTTTTATCGGATGTCCAGTATCTACCAAGTGGGCTAAGACTGAACTATTTACGCATTTGGTTACTCCTTTACTCAACCAAACAGGTACATGTTCATACACGTGCATGGATAAAGCCCTCTGAGTACGGCCAATGTAAGCAGTGTGTCGGTGGCATAATAGTTAGGATGCTTGCCGACCATGCACATGGTCCGGGATTCAATCCCCTCCCAGAAAACGCACTCCTTTACCTCGCTAAGCCAGAAACAATGCTGGTGAAGAGGAAAGGTTGGGCATGAGGCTAGCCACTAGCTTGAAGCCCTATGTTCCCCTGGGGAACGTGAAGTAAAAAAAACCAGCTCAACATAAGCAGTTGAACTCATAGATACACACTGATGAGGCCATCTTTGGTAACTTATCCTTGACTTGCTGTGTGAGTACTTGTTTAGTTGAGAAATTGAGTACCAGTTTAGCTGCAGGAAATGTTCTGTCTACATAAATGGATTGTATTCAAATTAAGTCATGCGAAGTTAGTTAAGACGTATACCCCACAAAATAAACGTTTTCACTTTTTATAACTGTGAACCCTTCTTTCACTGAATGTAAAAACAAGATCTGAAAGAGACATAAAAACGTAGATTAAGTGTACTCTATATAGGTTTACACTTGGATGATGTGACGAACACAGAAAGAATAGGGGATACACTAGCTAGTATATGCAACTGAGCTACTCGGGATATACTTTTACATGTAATAAGATATGGATGAAACAGGAGGTCTGATAGTTTTTACAGGAATTCAACCACAAGGCTGTACCTGATATGTATCCATTTATATATATATATATATGTTGGTCTCTCTTTCTATTTGCTCTCTTAGTCTGTGACCATTTCACTTGTATGAACTTGTCTCCTTTAACAATGTATATTCTCCTTATATTATATATAATATAATATGAGTGTTTGTTGACAGTCCGTTGCTTGGTGACATATATGGTGGTTGTTGACATGTCTGCTATATTTTGCTATGTATATTTGGATCGACACTCCATTATAATTAGCCATTCATGTTAAGACTGTCTATTGATTTGTTCACACACTTGTCTGGATGGTCGTATATATTTCGCTCTCACAATCTTGTGTGACACTTTGGTGTGATACCACTTATTGCTTCTCCTTGTGTTTGGAAAATAGAAGTATCATCGCAAACCTAGTGGTCTTCTGATTTCCGTCTTTCTCGCGTCAGGACTATTAGTTTCTCGACCAGTCCATAACAATAAATTGTCGACGAGTACATAACAGTACCTTAATGGAGTTTTGAATATGGTAATCAATCACGGTAATAGACGTGACTGACTGCTTTCAACATAGAACTTTGTACAGATGTGCAGCAGTTCGAGTTGCCACCCTCCAATTCATGTAGCACACAAAGTAAGAGAAGAGAGTAAAGGGAGGTTCAAAAGAGAGAGAGAGAGATGATAAAAAGAAGTGTGAGTGAGGGGAAAAGAAAAGTAATATGGAAGCAAAATAGAGCGAATGCATTTACACCAACCATTGAGAATGATTTTCAGTCATATCAACAATTGTCTCCCGCCTTCACTAGTTCTTATATTATCCCGAGGACCCCAACAAGTCAAGAAGTCTACATCTCTCCACGTGACTAGCTGGCTGGCTGGCTAGCTAGCTTAAACTAACTGTTAAAGATCTCATTGATTGATCAAGCCATGCTTTGGTTTGACCACCAGTAGCTAACTCTCTTCCAATCTGATCAATCCTGTGTCAGCGAAGAAGCGTAACACATGGCCTAGCCATCTTAGTCCATGTAACCGCACAAACTCATCGATTGATGTTCTCTCCCACCTACCTACCGTTCGACTGATGCCTCCTCTCAATATTAATCACCTTATTACACTTACCACCTAACACGGGAGATAGAATGTAGACACCTATAATTAAAGACAGCTAGCCAACCAGGTGTTTCATGCTTTCCACTCTCAATGACCATACCTTACAGCCAGCCAAAAAGGAGGAGGAAGACGGGGTGAACTGTTGCGCAACACGTAAATCCTTCAGTCTGTCTGTCTGTCTGTTTTCGACATAGAACTTTGCACAAATGTGCGGAAGTTCAAGTCGCCACATTCCGTGTAGCACGCGAAGCAAGAGAAGAAAGTACAAGAAAAGCATAATAGAAACAGTGAGCAGAGGTGTGAGACAAAGGAGTAATAAAGAAATACAAAACAGTTTCATTGAAGATCATAAGTCACAGGGAGTGGATGCATCTGCGCCACTGAGAACGATTTTGAGCCATGTCACCAATTGTTTCCAACCATAGATTTTTACCGTCCCGAGGACCCCAGCCTGGAAGTCTACACCTTCCTACGTGGCTTAGACCAACTGTTGTGGATTTCATTGACTGATGCCAAGTTTTTGTTTGACCGCCGCTAGCTTTTTTCCAGCCTGACCCTATATCCGCTAACATTGCTCGTCGAGGGAGGCGATGACTTGGCATACGTAACACATGTCCTAACCATCTCAGTCTTTGTAGCTTCACGACTTCGTCGATTGATTTCCCCTGTTTACCTAGAACTCTACGCCTAACCTCCATGTTGCTCACCTTATTATGCCACTTTACACGGGAAATAGAACGCAGGCACCTATGATCAAAGACAGCTAGTCTTTTCATGTCTTCCACTCTCAGTGGCCAGGTCTCACAACCATAAAGGAGGACGGAGCGGACTGATGAGCAGTACACCCGCCCTTTGGTCGATAGTCGAACATCTCGTCTACGCCAGAGTCGGCGTAAACTAACAAATGCGA